AAATTGGACCTTTGTCAAAGGTATTAAGGGATGTTATGGTATTATTTATTTTAAACCAATTGAATACAATTCTTGTTAGAACACACACACACACACACACACACACACACACACACACACACACACACACACACACACACACACACACATATATAAGCCGTTATATGACATAGAGTACTGGGAAGACGGGACACCACGAGCGCACCTCTCATCCTGTAACTACAGTTACGCAATTACACTTAGGTAATTACACACATACACAAGGGGGGCCTGTGGCTAAGTGGTCAGCGCTTGGGTCTCGTAATCCTATCGTCTGGGGATCGATCCCCGACAATGGCGGAAACAAACGGGCAGTTTCTCTTTCACCCTGATGCCTCTGTTACCTAGCAGTAAATAGGGACCTGGGAGTGTGACAGCTGCTACGGGCTGCTTCCTGTGTGTGTGTGTGTGTGTGTGTGTGTGTGTGTGTGTGTGTGTGAGTGTGTGTGTGTGTGTGTGTGTGTGTGTGTGTGTGTGTGTGTGAGTGTGTGTGTGTGTGTGTGTGTGTGTGTGTGTGTGTGTGTGTGTGTGTGTGTGTGTGTGTGTGTGTGTGTGTGTGTGTGTGTGTGTGTGTGTGTGTGTGAGTGTGTGTGTGTGTGTGTGTGTGTGTGTGTGTGTGTGTGTGTGTGTGTGTGTGTGAGTGTGTGTGTGTGTGTGTGTGTGTGTGTGTGTGTGTGTGTGTGTGTGTGTACATGACCTTGCAGGAACTTTAGCGCACATGCACATTTTTTGTATTATTATTAAATGTGCACATACAGCAAATCCCACATTGTCTTATAAATGCATTTAAAATGTATTAATTCAGTATACGCTTAAACAAAATATCCTATAATGTATTAAATGTATTACATTAAAGATCAGATAATGCATTAAATGTATTAAATATACTATAATGAATTAAATGTATTAAATTAAAGATCATATAATGTATTAAATGTATTAAATTAAATATCCTATAATGTATTAAATGCATTAAATTAAATATCCTATAATGTATTAAATGTATTAAATTAAATATCCTATGTATTAAATTAAATATACTATAATGTATTAAATATCCTATAATATATTAAATATCCTATAATGTATTAAATGTATTAAATTAAATGTTGTATAATGTGTTTATATACCATCAAATTCGAAGCATATTTGCACGTAAATAAATTATCTTTATATATACGCATACAATATTAATTTGAAATTAATATTGCAAATTAATGCAAATTAATTTGCCTTAATTTGAACGATTGATTTGTTTCAAGCGTAGGTTAGACCTGTGAAAGAGCTTGAGGTGGTGGATATAAATAGACGTCTGCCTCATACGGGTCAAATACAACAAAGTCTGCAGTTTCCTTCAACCATATGTTCTAATGTTCTAATTCTAAATTCAACCATATGTTCTAATGTTCTAATTCTAAATTCAACCATATGTTCTAATGTTCTAATTCTAAATTCAACCATATGTTCTAATGTTCTAATTCTAAATTTGCAAACGCGACGAACAAAACAGCATTTAATTGTTGAGGTTAATTGATTAGATTAGATCTTTCTCTTGGTCAGTGAGGCTGTGAGTCGAGCTGCATTGGCGGGTAATCCTTTAAATCACAACATATCGTCAGCCAGATGCCTTAAGCTGTTAGGTGTATTTATACACCGGGGTTGCCTTGAGTATTTTTAGGGTGGAGTTGTGTGTATTGGTGTATTGCTCCCCTTCACAGATATACACTGTTGTGTATATCTGTGTCTGACTCACTCACTCACTCTCTCTCTCTCTCTCTCTCTCTCTCTCTCTCCCTCTCTCTTAACTATGGCTTGGATTCACCAGGATTCTCTTTGAAATTCCTGGTGAAACTGCAAGCAAGAGCTGTTATCATTCAAAAGCTCATCTCAAGCCTGCCCCTTTAGACTCATTCATATATAGAGATTATTATTGTATAACTAGACATAAACTAATGCTATGGTGCCAAGCAACTATCATGTAAGGAACAGGGGTGAGTCATGAGTCAACTGTGTGCCAGAGCCTGCATATGGTCAGTTGACCTGATTTCATGTGTGAAATCAGACATCTCTCTATGCCTGATGCCCATGCCACTATGCACTATACTCTGATATGTATATATACACTGATCAGTACACTGATGTGTATACACACGTGGAAAATTTCCACCATAGCAATATTATAATCTAAGAAATGTATTATTTCTATATCACACAATCAGAATCCTACATCTGTATCGAATCATACAGCTACTGAATCATACATCAGAATCATTAGAATCATACATCTAGATCCTACATCCATGACAACACCACAATGGTCATGCCTGCTATTAGGCCAAGGGATGGCCTACGTGACTTTGTTCATGGACCTTCAAGGATCAAGAAGCTTCGACAAGAAGTTGGCTTAATTGAAATACAATTGGAACATGATTTGAATTCCGGGTCATGTAATTACAAATCTGTAATATAGAATCAATCAGTACCATAAGTACTACCAATAATCACAAAATCCAATACGTACTTATCTTACAATCACACTATCACAAATTAATCGTCTAGACGAGAAATAATTAATCAATTTTTATTGTAGGCTACCCTCACTGAGAGAGAGGTAGCCGCCGAGCAACTGCTTTAAGCCTCAGATTTTTTTGTTTACGTACACAGTGAACACGTGCGACGGCCCTGTATCAAGACTAGTACCGCACAAACTAATTATAAATCACTAAAATAGCTCCCATGAGATACTCAGGATAAATCAGAACAAAATACAGATACATTTATCACAATACGAGTGTAGAGATAGCTCACCACGTGTGGTCGCTTACCATCTCTACAGAATCTCAATCCTGGCAAACGCTACTGTGTGAACTGATCCTACAGCAAAGCTGCAATCTTATCATCAAAATACTGTGCCTTTCCCGCCAAACACACGACAGAACTACAACATTGCTACAATGTTTGAACAAGGTTTAACACCATCTAACAATTGTAACCACCAATATAGCCTGTTGTAACAACGTTCTAAAACGTTATAAAAAATGTTCTAAAACGTTATAAAAAAACGTTCTAAAACGTTATTTAGACGTTTTAAAAGTCTAAATACGTTATTTAGACGTATTAGATATATCTATCTAATACGTTATAAAAACGTTTTAACAAGATATAACAACTTTATTTCAACATTATCACATCTTTATTACAAGTTGTAACAAGGGAATTATAAGGACCGATACATTGTGTGTTTGCAGGGAATTATCTCATCAAGAGAGATATAGTGTGGCAACTGTCAGATGGGCATTGGTTCTCAATTTTGGATTAGTTATTATGTGTTTGTGGAGTGTAAATTGGCCCATTGCATGATTATGAAATAAATATGTCCATCTAAAATTATTAATCGTTATATCATGGGGAAAATCCTCCGCGATAAAGTAAGCATCTATTTTAATCTTTACAATCTAATATGAATATATGTACTGTATATAAATTAATCGGTATAAATTATCAATTGTTATCATCAAGTAATCATGTTTGCTTGCATATAAATCATATAAATCTTGCTTGAATCATATAACTAGTTGTTATATTTACAAAGTATAATCTCAGTTATTGCCTATGCAGTTTGAGAGCTAGGCTAGGCTGATCAATTGATGTTAGAACAGAATCAGTATTTACAGCCATTGTCCTGTGTTTTATCATATAATAATTGTATGAAATGCAATGCTATATGTGTATAAATACCAACATGTTCGTTGTGTTTCTTCAATCAATAATCTTGTTTACCCTTAAGAAATGTACTTGAGATATACAGCCCATAGTCCTTCCTAAACCAAGAGGGTTGGCTGGACTATTTGTACAGCTAAGGATTTTTATCATTTTAATTAACAACCTTATTTTAAAGTAGCAGTTTAATTTAATTTCCTCATATATCTATCCCTGGTATTTATCCCACATTTATGGTCCTTTCTTTACCGAATATTTCAATGCTAAAATACATAAGAAACTTCTTTATTTTTCATTGGAATAATTTATACACATATATAGCCTAACCCAGCCTAACCCAGCCTAACCAGCCAATAACATATCTAAGTGAACAAATTGTCCACAGTGACTTAAGACCACCACAATCCCTTATCTTGTGAGGCATTCATAGCATACTAGTGAGTGTTCTACGTTAAAAACCACGGTAATTAATTTTATCAATATCATTCGACACAACTGCATCTTATTCATTTACAGTATACCATTATTTCTCATAGTGGGGTAGCATTATAATTTAATATTAATAATTCTCTGTGTCGGGGGACAGGAAGCCTGAGTGTATTCATACACATTTGGCTTTTATCGAGATATGGGCCGAATTACTGACCATACCCAGGATGCAACCTCACAACAAGCTGACTAACTCCTGAGTACCTACTCACTGCTAGGTGAACAGTGGCATTAGGTGAAAGGAAATGTGCCCAACTATTTCTGTCCTATATTATATAAACACATTCAAGTGTATAATCCTGCATTACCGCTATTCAACTATTTTCAGAGCTGCTCAATACTAATAAACCCTTTAAAACGGCATTTTAGTGGCTTTGCAAGAATGTAAAAATATCACTAATGTAATCCCATTGTACCTTCTTGTAAATAAAATATTATTACTATTATAAAAAAGTGCTTCATGCAGTATCATACAGTAAGAGCATTTTATTACCTTATATCTATAATCTAGTGAAGCAAACCTTATTTTCAGGTGGAAACCAGTAGGGCAATTTACAGGATCTGACCAAACCCTAACTAGGGGCAATATTTCAATCAATAATAGTGCCAAAAAGTGTCATTTACTATTTTTAAACAATTATTACCTTTTACGGCTCGATCGATGTGCATACGGGGTCGAATTATAAACAAATTGTTACAATTTTGATAATTGTAAAGCCTGCTACACCAGATTCCAAGATGGAAAGGAAGGACGATCTTTGGAATCATTACCTAAGTAGACAGGATAAATCAATTATCAAAATAAACATACATTTAAACTTAATTATCTAAAAAAAATTATCTAGAAAATGTCAAAATAACTAACAGTCCTCCAATTGTTGCAGAAACAGGAAACAAAAGGACACTTACAAGTTCACTACAAACAGTGGATACTAATCAACAAACTTGAGGGCTTACAGGCCACTTAAATCAGTTGATTGACAAATGTTATCACTTGGCTAAACAGCACATCACCCATCTTAATCCATAATCTTAATGGCATTGACAATCTCAGTAAAAATATTTATTATTCATCTAAGACAACAATCTTAATCCTTGAATATAAACTAGAATATAATCTTGATAAACTAATCTATTGCATTCACTGGTGTGAAAGCTGACACAGATAAATTTTGAAGGTAAATCATGTGTCTCACAGAGACTTAATAGAAAAAGGCTAGAGCCGATAAATCAAAGCAAAATGCTTAATCCCAAGATAAATAATGTAAATACTCATGATTACAATAACAATTCATTCTTAAAGAAAGTCCTTAAAGGACTACAAGAATTACATACTTGTAACAAAATCAAATAACAAGATAAATCTACTAAGTATGAATCCTCAAGAACAAGATTGTCCAAACAAATTTTCAGAAATCAAGACAACAAAACTCGTCTTCTGCAAAGTGGAAACAGAGTAATGTTGGCTCATATACTGTATTACCCACATGTAAGAAAAACTGTAGGTAGGAAACTATATATATATTTAATACACACAGAAATCACAATAGCGTGATACATCATATATATATATATATATATATATATATATATATATATATATATATATATATATATATATATATATATATATATATATATATATATATATATATATATATATATATGTCGTACCTAGTAGCCAGAATGCACTTTTCAGCCTACTATGCAAGGCCTGATTTGCCTAATAAGCCAAGTTTTCATGAATTAATTGTTTTTTGACTACCTAACAAACCTAACCTAACCTAACCGATCTTTTTCAGCTACCTAACCCAACCTTACCTATAAAGATAGGTTAGGTTAGGTTAGGTAGGGTTGGTTAGGTTCGGTCATATATCTACGTTAATTTTAACTCCAATAAAAAAAATTGACCTCATACATAATGAAATGGGTAGATCTATCATTTCATAAGAAAAAAATTAGAGAAAATATATTAATTCGTGAAAACTTGGCTTATTAGGCAAATTGGCCCTTGCATAGTAGGCTGAGAAGTGCGTTCTGGCTACTAGGTACGACATATATATATATATATATATATATATATATATATATATATATATATATATATATATATATATATATATATATATATATATATATATATATATATATATATAATTTTTTACGGAGTAGCAAATCATGCGAACACGAGTTGTACCATAAGCTACGGGAAGACAAAGCTCTCAGCCTGCTGAACGAGTCAGAAGTTGTCTAGTCCTGTTCCCTCCTGTGTGTATAACCAGTAGGGTAAGGCTCTACTAGATGTACACACTAGAAGAGCTTTGCTAGTGTGTATATCTTTCCCTTCCTATGTGCTATGGGAAGGGAGGTTAGCTCTCAACCTGCTAACAGCATTCAAAAGTGTCTACTCCTGTACCCACCTGCGTACAAAGCAAGTAGGGTAAGACTTACCATGAGCTATGGGAAGGGAAAGCTCTCAGCCTTAAACAGGAGTCTGCAGTTGTCTGCTCCCGTACCCCACCTGAGTAAACAGAAAAATAATGGGATGGTCACCTACCTATTACATACTGATGACCAACTTCAGTAATTGGCAGTGTCTCCTCTCAGTTCGTCAAGCCTCAAAAACCTGTAATCAGATATTTTTGTTAAAGAGTTATCTGCTATTATCATACACACGCCACGATAAAGTTTCTGATACTAAGCTTCACATTGTATAAAAAACATATGAATTAAGTTCCTCAATCTAGATCTAAGTAGCACTCCAGGTTGCAATTCTTTTTACCATGTCATGGCACAGTCGACTAAGGCGCGTCTGGGATCATCCCCGACGTAGGTTCGAACCTTCATCACGGCCTTTATGGATTTGTTCATTTGATATATCACGCTATTATGATTTTTTGTGTATTATATATATATATATATATATATATATATATATATATATATATATATATATATATATATATATATATATATATATATACACATAATTCAGGTTTGTATCAATGTAACCTGCCCCAAAAGGTCGAACTACTGAACCCTCCCCCCTCCCAGAATTCAAGGCAACAACAGAGCTGCCAAACTCCTGGACACTAATTTACTGCTGGTGAACAAATGCATTGGGTGAAAGTAGACGTTTCCGACCATTTCTGTCTCGCCGGGGAATCGAACCCAGGATTGCCGACTGCGTTTTTGAAGGATATATACCTTCAAAATATATGCCGATCAAAACAATATCCCCCCCCTAAAACA